TTGCAGAGTTTGCAGTTAGTTTATTCCAATCTTCACCTGGGTATTGTTTAACGTGGGTATTGTTTAACGACCAACCTCATTTTCTTCGAATTTCACCTGTTCTTGTCCACCTTCTGGGATTTTGTCTTAGCTAGAGGTATATAACCAGCCATTTTCAGATCCACAGACTGTCGATGAGTCGCCGCCTTCATACAATTTGAAGGTGATGTCGACATTCTTCTGGCATTTTCTTCGTATTTCTCCGTTTTTATACCCCTCGTACTCGTTTTAGAGCCTCATGAACGTCCAGTTACATGTGATGTCTGATGAAGGACCTTCCTCTAAAATAAATCTTCCGTCAGCCTCCCAGGAACTGCTGATCGCCAACGGGAGGGAGAAGTTGCCGAACAAAAACATATGTTCAGGTATGAGGGTTGGCAACAAACTCCAAATTCTACGAAGTTCTTCCTGAGTTTCTAACGATTGTACGTTACCAATGAATGATTGATTTACCAAGTGAAGCAATCAAGCTCGTAATTTGCTTCCAATACTTCCTTGTTTTCTATATTGCCCCTATACTTTCACTGGAGCTATTGCCACACTTAGTGAGCCAGGTGGTGCCAGCGGCGTTGATGGGATTCTATCCGCGGAAAAAACGGAATTTACCAAAAAAAAAATTGAACATAAAAAAGAGATGTGTGAGGCACTCATGACCCTACTATATTGATAGTGACCCACATGAAGTGTGACGGGCCATAAAAATCACTTTCTGGGCTTCCTGTTTTTTTCCTTGGTTATATTACCCTAAAATTCCATAGATAAGAGCGGGTGAACCTACCGGTGAAAAATGAATTGGAAAAAATCGAAATTGAATGCNGCATTCAATTTCGATTTTTTCCAATTCATTTTTCACCGGTAGGTTCACCCGCTCTTATCTATGGAATTTTAGGGTATGCGATTACTGATTTCCCGCAATTTTTGAACCTATTACGGGCAGTCTTCTTTGCTATTCTTTGGTAAAACTTTTTTTGCTTGGAGATCGTCAAGCAATATCCGTACAAACGTGGATCGTCAGTTTCCGAGATTTCCAAGGCGCCTAAACCTTCATCGAAAGCAAGTACATCGTGTCATAAAGCGATTCGAAGATACTGGAGAGATTGAAATTCATCCAAGAGAAAGAACAGAAAGAATTGTCGGGACCTCTGCCCTTCGAATGGCCGTTAAAAACAAACTGCGCCGAAATCCTAATAGAAGCATGAGAAAATTGTCCGAAGAACTTGAACAATTCAACGATGCAAAGACTGGCCAAGGAGATCAAGTTATATTCCTACAAATTTGCGAAAGGGCAACGCCTTACCGAGGAAATGAAGGCCTCAAGACTGGAAAAATGCAAGAAGATGAAAGCTCTTGCGCGCGGTGAAAGTCTTGGACGATTTCTCTTTACAGACGAGAAGATATTTACCATTGAACCATTCCAAAACGCGTAGAATCAACTGATACTGCTCTCGAAAGGATATCCAAGAGTAGTCACGGTCGAGGAATCTCATTATCCACAGTCGGTGATGGTGGGGCTCGAATATCGGGTCTTAGCAAGACCAAGCTCGTTTTTATCGAAAAAGGAGCGAAAATCAGTGCTGAAATATATCAAAAGCGGATTATGGAGTATGCGGTAATTCCTTGGGCCGAGAAGAACGCGAAGAACGTCAATGCTTCCGAGTTCTTGGACGGAGGTTTGGAACTCAAATCCCCGATCTAATTCCTTTGGATTTTGGTATGGTCGATTCTGGAGCAAAAAGCTTGCGCTTTCAAACATCGGTCTTTGGACCCTCTGGAAAAACTCTTAAAGCGTGGGACGAATTTCCACCGGAAGTGGTTGCGCGCATTTTTGAAAACTTCCGAAAGAGCCAAAATGCTTTCATTAAAGCGAAAGATGGACATTTTGAATGCGAGTTGTGATATTTTGTTTCCATTTTTTGTGATGATTATGTAGAAGTAAATGTTTCCTAATTGGTTTGATTTGTGTAATCTTGTTGTTAGATTTCTGTGTCACACCTCATGTGGGTCACCCATGTTGTGTGTTTTGTGTGTGGTGTGTGTATCGGTATGGGTATATATACAGTAGCGCTAAAAGTGTTCGGTCAAACGCTTTCACGCTTTTTCGTTCATAACTTTTTCCTTAGTGGAGCAAATCGCGCGAAATTCCGATTCCACACTATTTCACAATATCCAACATTATTTGATTGTAAAGCAGCAACATCCACATAATTAGAATAAGATGTTTATGCGGCAGCAGATTTCGCTAAAAGCAGTGTTAGTGACGTCTGCAGTTATTCGCACCTCATGTGTGTTTTTTGTTCTCCACTGTGTTCAGCATTAGCGTTCGTACACCTTAGACATGACGAGAAGGAAAGAAATTCCAGAAAGAAGAGCATTCGTATTTCTAGTAGATTTTAAGTCGAAGCCCTTCGGGATATCTGGAACATAATCAGATTGCGGGTTAATAGAGGTAAATATTCACAATACACCCAAATCGGAATTTCTCGCGTGATTAGATACAGTAGGAAAGGAGTTGCGACTGAATAGTATGACTGAAGAAGCATTTCACCGAAGACTTTTGAGAGCTACTGTATAAATAAATAAATAAATAAATATTCATATATATGTTTGTGTTTGACCGGAAATTAATAACCCCTGCTCTCGTGCACCTAGAGCGTTCAAGTTTGATAGGAGTACAGGCGGCAGGATGGGAACACTTATGGCATTGAACAGGGCCAGACTCGGCCTATAGAGGGCGGGGCGTGCGTTTACGTGGACCAAGAGCTTCTAAATGTGGTAGGAATACAGGCTGTAGAATGGGAACAATAACGATAGGTGATAGGAGGTGATAGCAGTTGAAAGGTGCTGATAGAGAGCCTTAGAAGGCGAGAGTCGCAGGATCCGTTTCCTTCTTCGTGTCGAAGTTGGAGCTTCGGCACTTTAGTGGGGAGTGTGAATTAAGAAGGTACCGTAGTTTCTCAGTGATAGAGATTGATAGGAACTGTTAGAGACTGATGACGAGCCATAGAAAGCGAGAGCCATTAAGTCTACAACGTCTTTCATATTAACACTAGAGCACTTTAGCAGGTGGTGTTGGATGTGAAGGGACTGAAGGTGATTGTTGACAAGGACTAATAACAAGAGGGCAAAGATTGACGAGGAGTCTAGAAAGCTTTGTAGTCCCCTTCGCGTCAAGAGTGGAATCTTGGCATTTTAAAAGATGACCAAATAAGTGGCGTGGTCCAAGGTATTCTGTGGCAGGAACTGATAACAACTGATAGGAGTTGACAACGGGCCTTAGAGAGCAAGAGTCTTCTACCAATCCTTACTATATATAGAGCGCTTGCGTGTGTCTGTTTGTTTGTTTGTTTGTTTGTTTGTTTGTACGGAAATTCGATATTGCCTGAAGAAGCATGTGCAGAAGTCGAGTCAACTTCTGGATAGGTTGGGTATAGGAGAAGGAAAGAAGCACATGTGAGCTCAGCAGCGTTCCGCTCACGGGGGGGAGGGGGGGGGCATGCGCGGCAGTGGGCGGTGACTTGAGCAAAATGTCTGAACTAGATTCAAAACTGCCCAGAAGCTGGGAAAAATGGGCAAAGATGAGGGATGGGTGGGCAAGAGAAATGAAGGAGACTCACCGGCGGTGGGAGGAGCGTTCTCGCTGTGGGCGGTACTTACCACTTAGGACCATACTCGATTCAACGGAAGGCCGAAAAAAATTTTGGAGGATGTATATCGTAGAGAAAAAGGATGTAAATCAGTAGAGAAAAACGGTCCACTCATAAGGACATCTGATAATGGGCGTTATTATTACTCGACAACATTTCTGAGTACCATTCACCGTTTGGTTTGCCTAACATTGAATCTCTGATAGGTATTCACTTTTAAGATGAAGAGCAACAGACCGAGACTTCTAATAATAGGCGTGAGCTTCGGCGCACTTTGGATACCTTTTGCGCTGCCCTTTTAGTCCTGTGTCAAATTTGTGTTTAGAAATACATATATCACTTATTCTAAAAGATGACCCGATTACCACCACTTTATAATAAGGAGGAAAGCCCGGCGTTAGCCGTGCAATCCGACTGGTTTAAGTGTAATAGGCGAGAGCACGAACGATTATAGACAGTGATGTTCACTATCAGTCTTTGCCTTAACAGACATAGTTGAAAGAGCCTTGTTCGGCAAAACAGCAGGCGATAAGCTAGACAGTTTATGAGAAGGAGAGTTCACTCAGGCAACCTCGATAAGTCAAGTTCGAATATAATTCATTAAAATACGTTGCAGAACATCGATTACCATCTCAGACAGAATCAGAGCCGAAGGGTGACTTCGTCCCCGAACATGGTAGGGCCTTGGTTACTCTTACTTCCTTTCTTCTCAATTCATCCCATTTAGATCAGCATGGAATTTGTTCGAACGGATCTTCACCTAGAGTACAACGTTTTCGAAAAGGTTCAGAGAAGGAACAGAATCGAGATCTTGCTATTAGCCAAGATACATCATCTGCAGATTCCCCTGATGATAAACAATGCAAACCCAACGTGCGATCGAAAGTATTCGTCCCAGTTTTGCCTTTGCTCGGCCCTCAAAACGAGACCAGGCGGACGCCTTCTGCAATTTCGTCGCAGTCGTTGCCGAAGAACATCAATTCTCATCTCATCAAGGAACATCCATGGGCAAAATACGTTATTGTTAATGACCAACCACTTCCTACATCTGAAAACTCCGTGACAAGTTCTGTGCCTCCCGATGTTTACTGCCATATTCCTATCACTGGGTACTTTTCCTACGAATTCGTCAAGTCTCTTTTTCCTCGTCAAAATCGTCAGCATCCCAACTCCGGTAAACCGCTTACAATCTTTGAGCTTATGCGTCTCCAGAATGCCGTCGACTTTCGAGAGCATTCGCTAAATATTATTCACCAACTTAGTTGTAGCGGATACTCAGCTCGTGAAAATAATGATCCGAAAACACCTCCAGGTTCTATGGCTACAACCATTCTTCCAATTCCTTGGCACAGTAGTCCAGTTCTTTACCAAGTTGTATCCCGAAGCAGTAGTGAACAAATGATTCTTGAAGCCAAAGACTTTTTCATTGTTGGTCCTGATCGTGGCGAGTTACAGTGCATCGTGCTCGATCAATGCTCCACGAATATAAAGTCAGGCACACGAGGCTTCGACGGTCAACTTCTGTCGGTTAAGGACTTCGTCTGGGTGTACTCTTTAGAACCTACGACGGAGGCTGTTCAGAAACCGTCAAATGTTCTTGCAAGAGCACGAGCGCATAGAACAACCGCTCTGGATACATCCGTACCCTATTTCTTTCGGGTACGTGAATTTGTTTTCGTTACTCCTCCGAAAGCCACTCATTATGTGTACGGCCTCGTAGTAGAAGACAGAAGCGAGAACCTGACCTCATATAAAGTCGTTTTCGAAAGCGTACCCGAGGTAGTCACTGTTCCGCCCGATGTTTTTCAATTCCCAACGCAGAATGTTAAAAAGTACGATATTGTTCTTGCGGAGACTCGCGATAATGTCTCCACGGCGATTCGCTTCTCGGAATCACCAGTATCGGTGGATGATCAGCTTGCTCTGTGTAATTTGGTTCGGGAATTTATCCCTTCCCATCCACAAGAAGGACTGTTGCCTTTGAAAATTTTTGACATTTCTCGTGAAGACAGGGAGTGGATTGACGATCGCATCGGTAAATTCATGAACTACTCAAAGGATCCGCAATTAGCCCACATCAAGATGACACAGTTATTCAACGTAGCCGTTTCTTTTTTGTTCGCTTTTGAAGAGATGGATGACGACAAATCCACACGAAGGGTGACAGCCACTGTGTTGAGCACAAGTGCTTTCCCGGTCCGTTTTCTTTTCAAATTGAACTCGAGCACAGATTCCGGGTGGAATTCGCATCGCACTGCTTTTCTGTGGATTATTGGTTCTGCTTCTGTTGTGAGCGCTCGAGTGGAAAGCATCGAATCTAACTTCCACGACGGCACCATTTCCATTCAGCTCGTCGCACTACCACGCTTTCATCATTCCCTCATGAGAGCAATCAGTAGGTACAGTTGGGAAGAGAATGGCAGGTTGTTTATTGAAATATGCGTCAAATTAGATCGCCTTCCTGGGTCGACAGTTCCTGTACTCCAGATCGTCTCGCAAAACAAACTTTTCGATAACATTTCAAGAAATGCCAAATGTCAAGCTGCGCAGGTACTTGATGCCGTCTACAATAATTTTTCTGAACATAAATTCGTCGATGTTCGATTGCACGACGAACGAAGAGAGGAACGAACTTCCCTTGAAGGCAAATTATTCGCGCTTCATCCTGATCAGTTAGCTGCTATTCGGCTTGGATGTGGAAATCATCCCATTGTTGCAATTCAAGGCGGGTACGGAACTGGAAAGACCTTGGTTGCTGCCTTAATAGCTGCAGAATGTGCGCGCCAACGCAAAGGTTTTGTTGTCGTTCTTGCAACATCGAATGGTGCCGTAGCACAAATTACTAACACCATTTTGAGACTCGATCAATACAAAGACCTATCAGTGCTACGCTACGTGCACGAAACTCTGTGTTCTGAAAAGAATTTCTCAACCGACGTCGATATGAATAACATTCTTAAACGCCTTTCTGATGACTATGCTCAACGTTTAGCGCCGGAGGACCTGAGAATCTGCCTACGGTTCAAAGAAAGAAGTAAACTACTTGAAAAGTGCTCAACTGTATCGGAAAACGTCTTACTGCAATCTCCTAATGAACAGAGGGGTTGCAGTCAAGCAGTGAAAGAGTTGGTCAACGATTTGCACACCGTTTTTCGGCTCATGTTTGCCTTGCGGACACCAAATATAATATGTATGACAGTGTCAGCCCTTCTGGGAGCCACAGAGGAAAAGGGCATGCTTTATAATCATCTACAGGAATGTCACACCGTCATAGGTGACAATGCTTCACACATTCCTGAACCGGATTTTGTGGCTATTGCAAATTGCCTGTGTAACGCCAGACATGTCTACGTTGGGGACACGCACCAGCTCAGACCTCATATATATTGTGATCGCAATTCTCTCCCAGTAACACTTGGTGCACGGGGATTATTGGAACTTCTAATAGAAAAACATGTCCCCACTGTCTCCATGTTCACAACATTCAGAACTCATCCAGAGCTGGCTGAGTTTCCTAATGAACTCTTCTACGAATATGCTCTCATTGACGGTGTTTCCGAACATGAAAGGCGTTTATTCCTCGAACATATCCGTTACGAAAACTCAGATTTACCGTTCCTTTTTGTGGATATTCCTGACCAGTCACGTCTTCCGCAAGGTGGATCGCGTTTCAATAACGATGAAGTGAAAAGCTGTTGTGATATTGTCACATCATTATTGGCAAAAGGAATCCCTCCTGAATCCATAGTGATTCTTGCTCTTTACAAAGAACAAACTCAAAGGCTCAAACAGTTCGCCAAAAAGCATTCCGTCGACCTGTTCAGAGTGGGTGCATTCCAAAGTCTTGAAAAAGATATTGTCATTCTGCTCACTTCATGGTATTTCCCTGATGGTGAAGTCAACGTTGATTTCCTCAACGACAGTCATCGTATCAACGTCGCTTTGACTCGATGCCGCCATGGGCAGTTTGTCCTTGGTAGCAAGCGATTCCTTAGCGCACTCAGCAATTGGGCCCCGGTTATCCGATGGGCTAGGCTTCGGAATGCTGTGATCGACAGAGACGATTTACAACGTGTTCTCGCATGATCCTCCTTTCTGCTATCCAGCTTTTTGTGAGTTTTTTTTTTTTTACATTTTTCGTTTAAACAACAACAACATTAACACCGAGTGGTTTTTCGTTCAGGGGTTGTTGTACTTAAGAAAACAGTCTACTTCTACGAGATTCCCTTTATTCGTCGTTGCCACAATAGTATCTACCTCGAGGTAAAGGTTTATCGTTTACAGTTTTCACTGCACCAACAGAATCAAAATCTACTGGATACCTAAACTCAGAAAGATGCGCTCATTCACGGAAAGAGAGAAAAGATGGAATCGATGGTCGTATTGGTTTGTTGGGATTTAGTGGAGTTCGAATTTTTTCACAAAAGGGTTCAAATTTCGGTGAAATTGGCTGAAGCGTCACAAGAATTCTCGCTGTCAGAAGTTCGAGAAAGGTAGGATTGCGATTCCCGTCGCTTCGCTTCATTATTTGAATCGGATTTTTGGGGAAAGTTAAGTATCACAGCTTCAGATACAAACTGCCACTTCCAAAAACTTTACCGCTTACGGGATGGAAGTGATGTGTTAAGTGAGTTTATCAGGTTTTCGCCAGCCATTATCTTACGACAAATCCGATCTTGCGCATCTACTAGATCTAGTCATTCACCAATTAACCTGAATTTCCTTTCTTTTAGAGTAGCAATGCTAGCCCTAATGCATGCCTTCAATGTATCTTTGTACACAACTCGACACTCTAAGAAGTAATATCATTATACATACTATACCTAAATTTCTGATAAATCTTTCTCAACATTTTCTTGACTTCACTCAATCTTACTAACAAAAAAATGTAAATGAAATGTTGTAAATGAAATGTGTAATGAAATGTTTCTGCTTAAAGTGATAAAAAGTGTCAAGCCAGACAAAACACAATCAAACTAAATGGGTTCCTTTCTTCGTAACAGTTGTAAAGCCAGCCCTGTATCTGAGAAAAGATACGATAAATTATGGTTTGTAGTGAGGGACGGGGCGAAACGTCCTGCAAAAGATCCGTTCTACTACCATCCACCGTTCGTTGCGTGGGACTCCAGTTCAACTGACGTTAGTCATTACCGTACCTCGGACCTCTTGCTGCGTAAACGGTGGCAATACAGGGCTAAGAGTTAACTGAAGCGAGTGCACCTCGGGTTGAACGTTGTATTAAAAACATGTGTTACATTTCGCGTACATGGGAACATTCCTTACGAACGGGCAAAAGGCAATAAAATGGCTGTTGTGCAGTTTCCAAAATCAATTGAGCTACTGTAATTACGACTGAGACATGAGTTCATCAATAATAAATCTAATACAAATCGTGAGAGTCACAAGTAAGCTAGCCTCCAGCCTATCTCTTCAAGTTAGATTGCACAGAACAAAAAGACGTTGGATATATGATAAACGCTTACCAAAATGCTTCCCTAACTAAGAATTCTAATGAAGGGAAATAAAATCGAAATTCACAAAAGCGCACGTACCTTCAAACGGTCGATTGCCAGATCAAGACTTTTTTGGACAGTTCTTAATGAAAAGCCTGTAATATTCACTCTGCCACCATTTATGCCAGCCATGGCAATGTTGAAGCCATAATTGTCGGGACCAATTTGGTTTGACACGGGTACCTTAACGGGAAAGGTACCGTACCATCGGGTAAAAACCCTTGTACGGTCACGTACCTTAACATCCTCAAAGGTAATAATACTGGTGAGTTGAGCATTCCAACCTAGTTTGCTTTCTTTTTTGGCTTGTAAGAACCCTCTCATACCATCTTCAATCAAAAAGCAGAAAATGCTCTTCGCAACAGGTTGGCCTTCGTGTCGTCCCATGACCACATAACTGATATGAAATTCTTGAACTTTTAATTTTGCAAATTTTCAATTTTATTCTCTTCAGTTACAGTCTCGTAACGATTGGACTGCAAAAAACAAAGCCTACATTTTTGACGGACCTGCTCCAATTGAGAAACTTTGGATTCATTGACTTCGTAGTATCGACTTCACGTCTGGCTGTCGTGCGAAGACTTGCAGCATTAGATCCTGCAGTTTTCATATCATAAGAGAACAATTATATTTGTACATGACCTCCTACTTTTTGGTACTTTTATACCATGAACATATCACAAGTAAGGTAATATCTGCTCTCAGAAAAGGACATTTATTCCAAGAACAGTACACAAAGGACAGCACTACCAATATAAATACTCCGTAGTACTGAGGAGGAACTGCCTGTAAAAGAGGGTTGGCACCCATGTAATGATGACTCTGACCCAAGGCAGTACAATTTATTAGAAAGGTTTAGAGAGAAACGCAGTGTAGAGATAGAGCTCAGGTGGATACCGATCCTGAAAAATATAAAGGAGTAGGATGTGGTAGTACAAAAAAATCAAACAACTCAGAAAAGCATAAACTGTGCATTGCCTTTCAATGAGCGGGTTGCAGTAGCGTCTGAATATTGACTGCTGTCACTTCAATATATTAAGGCCAATTTATTGTTTTTATTTTATTTTATTTTTATTTTATTATTATTCATTACCCAACACTTGAAAATGTTGGACATATTCAGGGACTCGGTAACAAAACGTGGAACTTCGTTAATATTATTAGTAAGAGCAAATTTGTAACCAATATATTTTTATAAACTTCTTTAACGCCAGTCCATAGCGGCTAAACGGAATTACTTGATTGATGGGCATGGCATATCTTCAAGACCTGATCACTACCAAATGATTGACCTAGGGGACAGGAAGCTCGGTATCGATTTAAAACATGGACAACGGTAGCGCGTGGTAGCGTGTAGGTTAGCTCTAGTCTACCTCATTCATCTTGTTAGAAATGATGGCCTCAAAGATCCCACAATAGTTTGCAACACAACTAATGATAATGGCAAGATTTACGTATGAGGCATGGGGTCCGTAACCTTTCCCTAGGAAAGCCGTTTTTCCTGGGATTTGTTCCCTACTTCGTTAGATTCCTCTGAGAAGATATCGAGTAAGGTTCCAGCACTACTTAAAGCTTTGTGAGCTCCTGTAAGTCGAAAGGCAACTCACCTCAAGTTTGTGGCTTGAGTTGAATATTTCTCAGATGGTTGCACTGTCTCGCTCATGATAAGACTTGGTGGAGAAATTTAGCCCATTCCTTATATATGCATATGTCCAGCAGCAATGGTACCTATAGCAGACATTCAGATACGATTTGTTCTAATCGGAATCATATCACCTGAGCAATGATTTTTGTAGGCAACAAAACATTCAAAAACTTCACGTCAATACCGAAGTTGTTTCGACCCACTCACTGATCTTATCCAAACCAAACGGGATCCGTTTCACAAAGAATTTGAAGCCTGCTAATTGCAATGATAATGGCAAATTCGGTAGAATCCCTACTGATATCCATGCTAGTTTTAGAGTGCACCCCTATCCATTCTGGGATGTGTTGCGATTCGTGCGATTCTGGGTGCGCGCGACAAATTGCGCGGCGAAATTCGGTGCGTTTCGGACGACTGCAGCGTTCATCATTAGGGCACAAATTTGAAGTAAGGTAGGTTAGTAGGATTGTCCGACCCTACTCAAGTACTCTACTTCAAGTTTGTGCCCCAATGATAGACGCCAGAGTTGTTTGAATCATCGCGAATTTCGCCGCGCAATTTGCCGTGCGCACCCAGAATCGCACGAATCACACGTCCCCCTCCATTCTGGGTTCTGTCAGCGAAAACGTGTTGGACAATGCAAGAGACAATTGAATCAGAGCCAGAATGCTGAAGCGTACTCACCTTGTACATGACGCTGCTCAAAGTTCGTAGTGACAGTTCCCTTCACCCACACAAAAGTAGCACCTTTGACTAACGGTTCCGAGGAAAAACCCTCACCATCTGGTAGTTTCTGTAACATTAACAGCATTCATATTTCATACTGTACGTGCATAAAAAATACTCTCACTTGATTTACGCTTGCTTTTCAACTTTCACATTTTCAATCAAAAACACATCTAACCAAAATATTTTTAATATACTCACATTTTGCAGGCAGATACACGCTTTAGAATTACACAGAAAAAGTCTCAACAGACTGATAAATGAGAATTCTGCTACAGACGTATATTACAATATTGGCACTTAACGCATGACTATTAGGCAATTTAATAATGACATAAAGAAAACTGAGCACGGAATTTCCCGATACAGGCAAGCGTAGAAAGGAATCCACTGTTCCGAGTTCAATCAACGATTGCAGATCAGGGACGCTGTTCCATACGCCAAGAAATCGATGCTCAAGTGGGTCGGTCAAATTCTGCCAATTTTGTGATGACAGCGCAATGGACAGATATCTTCACATAAGCTCCGAATGAAAGAAATGGTATGCCTCGTATCTTCGAGCAGAAGAACCCACTGGAACACACAGATCAGCGTCAGGTACGATTATGGACCTTACTGGGGTCTGATCAAGGAAATCGATGATCAACGGAACGACGAATGATAAAGGTGGTTAGACATCTTCACCTGTATTCCACGATTACTACCATATATCATATACGTATAGCTATATCTAAACACACACTGACAACTCAATAAACCAATGAACAAACGCATGCCCTTCAACAGTTGAAATGATCCGTCCGGCTAATTGTAAGACTTGCCAGAAGATGTCAGTGAGTTTAGCTGAGATAAGAAAGCAAGGCAATTCTTAGTTATCCTCTTATTTCACTTCACCTATCACGACTTGACAATACTGGCTGCTGAGGAACAAATCATCCTTGGTTTTGATGTTGTGAGCAAAAAAAAGAACATGAGTTGATGTCGCATATCCACATAACTTCATGAGTTCATGCCTACATGAATAAAGGCTGTCTTCTCGCGGTGAGGGTTTAATCCGATCGTGACAGTCCCCTCGCTAGTTGTTCCTGAGCTGCTTCAATTTCTCGCATAGACTTCTCCACTGGTAGAATAGGCTCATTTATTAGATCAGGTTGCGTTTATTTCTTCCACAAGAATCATCTTCTCGAGGAATTGGCGAGGAAAGGACGAGGAAAGGACCAATTCGAGCCTCAGAAAATTGAAGCCGAGCATACCTGCGAGACATAGAAATCAAAGATAGAAACAAAAATGAAGCCGTATATGTTACTGCCGCTTTATGTACAGTGTTCACCGCACCGTAAATTTGAAAACGATGTACATGAACTGGTACCAATGTCATTTAGGCCGCTTGTGGAACTCAACTTGAGTCTTTTCTATCATCTGTTCCCTTGAAGATCAATTCCTTTGACCAGAGCATAACTGCTAATATGGGAGTACTTCCATTTACATAGAAATTTAAATACCCAATGAGTGAAGTACATACCAAATAACGATCCTCGAGAGCACCTCAGCAGAAATTGAACGACAGATTAGACCTCTGAGTAAAGCACAAACGTGAACCTGCATATATCTTGGGGCACTTGACGAGCACACATGACTAATCATTGCTTTTTTGGAAAACTCTTCCCGCTATGAGGTTTTGTTTTCTGAGTGAGGTCAAAAACACACATGCCCGTTATTCAACCCACCCTACAATATACGAAAAAAAAAACTGTCGATTCTTCACCAGTTGACATGGAAAATTGCTCGTTAAGTGCTCCCGAGAACACTGTGATAATAGAGCTTTCCCGTTGTGAACCTTCACATGTGATCATTGCGAATTCCAGTTCGCAGGGGCACCGTAGCCCAGTGTAAAATTCATTGATACCTAGTAATACATACTGATAACGACAGCAAAACTTGGAAACCACATCACCGATGACGATTTTATGGTCTAACAAACTGGAAAGGATATTTTGCAAATTCCTAAGTGTTGCAGTTGGTTCATCCTATTGAATACACAGATATTACAAGGTATTATGCAAAGTTAAAACGAATCAAGACAATGAGGTAGGAACTGATATCATTTTAAAAATCACCAACGATTCATAGACATATCCAAACAACAAACTACTCGATCTTCATAAGAGCTAGAAGACTTCTAGATAACAACCATTCTCCCTGATGTGGATCCTTCCTCAGATCGGACCATATGTTTGATTTCCAAGGATGTCACGGCTAACGATCAACCGCATCATTTCATTTGTCCCTTCTAAGATGTGGTGAACCTGAAATTCGATAACTGCCTGGTGGTACCACATCTCGAATTCAGTTATTTGTAGCCGATATCTTGAAGGTAGATTAAAGATGTCCACAGGCTTGTCAAAGGCTTGGTGTTAACGTTAAACTGTAATGTTGTTTACCGACAAGTCAGTATATTGTAAATAAAAACAATCAAATAAATAAACGCAAGTGGAAAAATAAGTTTATCAAAAATCGGAGAGAGAGCTTATGAGCCTCGGTGATTTCTAGATTTGAAGTCCCATGCGCAGCTAAATGTTAAACCAACTAATGATCAACTCATTTTCAATAGATTCGAGATGTTGGTTCAGGGAAATGGTAAACATGCCATCCACTGGAATACTAAAATAAAAGGGTAGTGAGGACATGTAAGCTGGAATTTTGCCATAGTATGGAACACAACGGATCGCACCCTAGTGAAGCAGTATGGACCACCCTTAGCTGCATGTGGTAACCATTATCAATTTCAATTTCTAGTATAAATGATCATACAGCCATAACATTGCTTTCAGTACTCCAACGACATTGGTGTGGAAAAGACATAAGCATGGGAACAATAGACGGACGCATTCGCAACTGATTCCTGTACATATGAGCAACCGACTTCCTGAGTCTAGGGTGGGACCCCGATACAACAAAACCTACCAGTACTGAGGCAGCCGATATGTCCGGGGATGCACGCGGCTAATTGCGCGGCGAAAATCGTAACTATTTGAACGACTTTAGCGCCTATCATTGGCTCAAATTCGAAGTAGAATAGATTGGAAGGACCACGTGACCCTACTAATCTGCTCTACTTCGAATTTCGGCCCCAGTGACAGGTACTAAAGTCGTCCAAATCTCCACGAACTTCGCCGCGTGATCTGCCGCGCGCACCCCCGAACGCACGTAAGTAGAGACACCCGGAACCCAAGGGAAACGCTTTTCCGTGGAAGGGGAAAAAACGTAATAAATCCATTTGCTGCCATTGTTCCAAATCTTCGGAAGAAAACAGTACGATAGGCTGTCTTGTAAATAGATATTTTGATAATGAAGCATGGCACCGCACGAAATCAAAGTGTGGGAGAGAGAATTTGTTCGCAGATGCTCTGCTTCCTGCATTCTTGTCTACAATCGCTACTGATCCCCTAAACCGATCCAACGCCAGCTCTTCGCTAGCATCAATCTTATCCTTCCCCATATTTCAATAGATTAACAAACTCTTTAAAAACGATTACTCAAGAAGAGAACTTCTGTCTTGAGGGTTTCGAGTAGAATTCACGAAGAACTGAAAATATCTAGTAAAGGAGGATATTTCTATATTGAAATCAAATTTTGGCAGCGAAAACTTCGTCTACTTTATACAATGTACTGTGGAGGAAGCGAAGCTGTCAATAGCTTCGAAAACGATGCCATCTTTTCCGTATTACTTAGAGAACCCAAGGTGTATATTAGTTCCTTTTCTAGATAACGAAAAATGTTGTTAATTCACAAAAATGGAAATTTAACACAATAAAGGTTGTTACCCTCAAATCTCGAAGATACTGTTGTATCGGGTAGTCCTTCAAATAGCCGTATCCGCCGAACATTTGTAGGGCTTGGCTCACAATCTGTAAAACCATTTTTTGATATAACATTTGACGCAGAAAATTATTTTCACAGTCTTAGGTCCAAATCTTAAATTAAAAAAGGTTGAATAAGAGCGTGTAACTAAGTATTTGAAGAGAATTTCTATGCCCTTCTGCTATTATTTGATTCCGAAAACTTAGCCAATCCCGATACACAGATAGTATTTCGAGCAGATTTCTCCGTGGTATACCTTTCAGTTCAATTTATGCGCTTATCGATTTGAAGCAGTTTTAGCACCCTCGCTGCCACAACGTAGAATGCTGTAGCGATCTGACCTATTTGCTTGGTCTTAAGGATGGACCCTGGATCACCATCGGGGACCGTCATCTTTATTCGTAGTGATACTACTTACTTATCATTCAAGTCTATCCAGTAACATATGCATCACGGGGTTTAAATAGCGTACTTATACAGTTCTTTGAACAGGATCCTACTTACTATAAAGCGTTTCGTCTGTCGTCCTGTCGCTCTGTCGTCTGTCGTCTGTCGTTATGCATGTCTGTCACGAAATTCCTTAGCTCCTTTAGATCTGCCTGGGGAGACCTGGTCAAGCGCGGGATGGGTGGGCCATGTCCCGCGAAGTATAAACCACACATCAACTTGGCGAAGCCCCGCCCACAGTGGGCGTTAGCTGGGCGATCCGACTGCTGTTTAGAAAGCACTCGCGAGACATCTCTGTTGTTGTCAGCTTTTTTGTCTTTAATAAATGGCTTGGGTTAGAAAACTGCTAGGCTCAGAAGTATTTCATGATGTGAATAGCGAAATAATGGAATCGATGTTCAATAGCAACATTCCATTCAAAGTCACAGTACTATATTACCTCTTTTAAAGATGGGTAACAACTTAATAGTACTTCCAAAGATGGCCACAACTCTGCGCTTTTGATAGAAGAAAACGTTGAAATCAAGAAATAGTAGTAACACACATATCGCTGCTTTCACTTACATTAAAATACCTTGGAAAAACCAGGCAGGAAAAGAACTTATCGGAACTGAAGGAGGATAGTGTAATTGAAAATCGAAATTCTTCATTCGTATTGATGGCAAAACATAATAAAACCAACCTCTGAACAGTTTTCCGTCACGTGTAGCTTAGCCATAGCGCACATCGATGCTTTATGAATACTGTCAGCGTCCAAGTGTCGTGCCGCATCTCGCACCATCAACCTATACAAAGTACTAGTAGTTTTTAATGCCTCCGTATGACACTGCTGCATTTCTGTCTTAGTAGAAGTTGTATTACTTGTTTTAATGTCAAGTTAAGTATTATATTTATAGAAGATTTGTGTCCTTATTCGTCTATCCTTCTGGAGATACATAGTGAAACACTTTCTATCAACCCAATCGATACGAGGCGCCTGCGCAGTAAGGGAAAGTTAAGTGGTAAAAAAAAACTATGAATTTTCTGAAGCAGATGGTTGCGGCTAACAATAAGAGAGAGAAGAAAGGATAAAATTTCAAAAAACAAAAAACTCTTGAGAAATAATGACAGAAATTTCCAGAAACTTTATATAGACAAATATCCTGTCAGGATAACATTCAGACCAACCAGTAGTTCAGAAAATCATTTTCCTTGGAGGAACACTTCCAACGGGAGAGTAAGTTTAATGTCGAAAACTTCTTAGTGGATACCTTATAAATAAGATAGTCGAACGAATGACTGTACGTACAAATAAAACGCAAAACAGCGTGCAGTTTGTTTCCCTCAGGCAGTAGGTCATCAATTCTTCAGTCAGCGCCTCGTGCTGCATCAATTAATACCCGTATAGGTGCATTCATAGTAACTGCGTTATAACACCGATTTGGGAAAGCACATATGAGAACGTACTATAAAGAATGTCCTTAGATATATTTGAAAGCTGAGCGCGGGGCGTTAAGCGTTAAGCGCTAGGCGCGCGCGCTAATGGCTACGTCGATAGCTGATCGATAATGCAAGAGTTGGCGATGAATAACTTCTTCATCGGGTTTTTGTTACTGGTGTTATTCACTTCTTTGACTTTCTTTATATCGATTTGATATCCTTCTCTGGCTACTACAGTGTTATGTGACGAAGGTATATCGCTGTGAAAGGCTCTCGTAGCTCTGTTGGTAAGATAATGTGATACAACGCGAAGACCGTCACTGGCTGCTTCCATACTTCGGCGTGCGTGCCGACACGCAGGTGGGATCGCGGGTACAATCTTGCGTGCGGCGTGCGAGCGGCTATGCGACTAGAGAGGTTTTGACAACATTGAGCCAATGGATCACAAGCCAGTGCTGTCACACAGCTGGTTAGCGCCGCCGTCGCATAGCCACTCGCACGCCACCTGCAAGATTGTACCTGCGATTCCACCTGCGAGCCGGCGCGCACGTCGAAGTATGAAAGCAGCCAGTGGTAGCGCGGACGCTAACCTGGACTAGACACTGCGCTCAACGGTCAATGCTCTACTATGAAAGCACCCATACGGATCTCCATTATATAGCTGCTGTCGACGCCCGTCGTCGATTGATAGCTTCAAATCGATGACTCATGCTGCCGGCTCAACCAGAGCAAGAGTGTGGAAGGGATGATTTGGCGTTGAAGATTCGACACACTTTGTTTCCATTTTAATTTTTATCTCGTGTTCCGCACTAATGCGCAGTCGTGTGGTATCTCCTGCGTGAGCTTATTTCGCTACTTATGTTTGGCTTCGTACTCATTGCTATCCCAACAAACGAATTTTCAATATCGGAAATCAATGACGAGCGCGGACTGGGTGTATTCATAGTACCTGCATTTTACGCGGATATATCCTAAAAATGAAAGTGCTATGAATGCGATCTCTAGGACGTTAGAATGCAAATATGCTTGTTCTAACGCCCTAGTCGCACCAAGTTATATGTCTGTAGTTAGTTAAAGCAGCCACTGTAGTACTTGCACTTTGACGCAGCATTGTAAACGCAAGTGCTATGAATGAGCCCTACGGGTTCTGCCTTAGAACGCAGGCACTATGAGTGCGCCTATACTGGATTTCGTTCCTTCATAGCGCATATTGTGCACTCTTTTGTTTAGGGCATTCTTATTGTTCCATGATCTGAATCTCTACCTCGTAATTTAAACTGCGCTGATTCACTGGTCGCAGCTGCAGCGACGCTAGGACGGCGCGGCCTTTTTTTCGGTACGATTGATGTAAAAACATCAATCTGTAGACGCCCTTCAAGACGCTCAGTTTAGCCTGCTTTCTTCTAGATCGTTGAATTTCCTACTCACGTAGCTCAGACAATTAGGATGTACGCTTTCATGTTTTCTTCAAAGTTTTATTTTATGCTACACAATCGATGATCACGTCCATGTGACTCACGTCTCAACTTACATATAATGCCGTCAAAAACTTGTCTTCTTCAATCCAAACAGCTAAAATAGGTTGAATGCAGCACTAGTCATCCAATTGAGAAAATATTGATCGACGACAACATCAAGGTGCATTCATAGTAGACGTTGCTACTATGAATGCAACCATAGTCGTATCTGCCATAGTCTGTGCATGTAGCACTCGCTATTGCAGCTTATGCGTCGCTTGAGCCACGTGTGCAATAAAAAAGTCAAGCGTGTTCGTACTTTAATGTACTTTAAGTATCGAGCGCGCTCAGGGCACTTTTGTCCAAAAACCGATTATCAATACCATAATGATGGGCTGGGTTGTGATCACCTGTCATCAAGGGTTACACCTTAGTGTTATCAGTGTTGGGGAGGGGTGGAATGACAGAAAAGAAGTCCCTGTCTTTTCTGAACATGAATAATGTTGAATCCTCAGTGACGTCATCGATGCCAGCAATTTCTGATTGCACATCGCGGACCGTGAACGTCGCCTTTTGCCGTATCGATAATCCCAATCTCCGCTACATATCAAATCTGTGGGCATCGATTGATTTCATTCTAATTTACATTTTTTTGTTGAAGGCGTGGATGACATCTTTCAGAGTACAACGTTCAGCGCCGAACGCTACCGGCACCCTGCTGAAAAGGTCGGCCGTCGATCGATACTGCGCGGCTCGGTGAAGAATCATTTTTTTGACTCGGTTTTATGGTTGTATTACTCACACTTCATCTTTTTGTATATAGATTTGATAGTTTCTTCTTTGACTACTAAGGTACGTGAAAGCCACATCAATATGGAAGAGCTCCGCGCAGCTCTGCATAGAAAATAACATGCTTCAGCGCAAACAACGTCAGCAGCGACGCAGACGCTAGTGCGCTTTCGACGCTCAGCGCTGTACTCTAAAAACGTCCATTGGCAGTTTGAAACTTGCAAACTTATATTCAGTCCGAGCAACGGACTCCTTCAATTTCCATTACTTTCCTAAGTTTGCAGACTTCTAAAAGACACGTTGGGGCTGTAAATTATTCCAAATCTTTACCTGGGTATTGTTCAACAATTAACCTCATTTTCTTTGAATTCCACCTGTTATTGTCCCACCTTCTGGAATTTTGTTTAGCGAATATATATATATATATATATATATATATATATATAATGTTTATATTTAT